TATAACAATTTTTACACCTTCTATTTTTAAAAATTCAAGAATAAAAAATATAAGAGACTGCATGTCTGTCGATATCTTAAAACTACAAATTTAATTTCGCCTTGTCGCAATCATTTTGCGTATACTTGTTTGGAACTTATTTATTTTGTATAGTAACCAACATTAATTGTTTTAAATCGATCAGGGACGGATGGTATAAGTTGCCAGCTGTTCAAAATAGCAACTCTTTTGACTTTGGGTCTTATTTTGGCAAAGTTACAACAAAAAGACTCTTTAGAAATTATTTTGTTTGAAAAATCGCCAAAAATCCCAAAAATCCCAAAAAACACATTAAAAACTTGGTTTTTGTATCAAAACTTAGGGAAATAATGGTCAAAATGTGGAATGTCATACACCGTTGAATTCGTAATAAAATTTCCAATCAAATGGCATTCAAAGTTAAAATTTTTTCAGATTTTCGAATTTCTGCAAAAAATGATGATGTACCCCCTAACAAAAAAGTCAGAAATTTGGACAAAAATTATTTTTTAAAAAAACGTTTTTCTAAATTCTGTTTTTGTGTCAAAACAAAATTAATTGTTTTAAATCGATCAGGGACGGATGGTATAAGTTGCCAGCTGTTCAAAATAGCAACTCTTTTGACTTTGGGTCTTATTTTGGCAAAGTTACAACAAAAAGACTCTTTAGAAATTATTTTGTTTGAAAAATCGCCAAAAATCCCAAAAATCCCAAAAAACACATTAAAAACTTGGTTTTTGTATCAAAACTTAGGGAAATAATGGTCAAAATGTGGAATGTCATACACCGTTGAATTCGTAATAAAATTTCCAATCAAATGGCATTCAAAGTTAAAATTTTTTCAGATTTTCGAATTTCTGCAAAAAATGATGATGTACCCCCTTACAAAAAAGTCCGAAATTTGGACAAAAATTATTTTTTTAAAAAACGTTTTTCTAAATTCTGTTTTTGTGTCAAAACAACATTAATTGTTTTAAATCGATCAGGGACGGATGGTATAAGTTGCCAGCTGTTCAAAATAGCAACTCTTTTGACTTTGGGTCTTATTTTGGCAAAGTTACAACAAAAAGACTCTTTAGAAATTATTTTGTTTGAAAAATCGCCAAAAATCCCAAAAATCCCAAAAAACACATTAAAAACTTGGTTTTTGTATCAAAACTTAGGGAAATAATGGTCAAAATGTGGAATGTCATACACCGTTGAATTCGTAATAAAATTTCCAATCAAATGGCATTCAAAGTTAAAATTTTTTCAGATTTTCGAATTTCTGCAAAAAATGATGATGTACCCCCTTACAAAAAAGTCAGAAATTTGGACAAAAATTATTTTTTTAAAAAACGTTTTTCTAAATTCTGTTTTTGTGTCAACACAAAATTAATTGTTTTAAATCGATCAGGGACGGATGGTATAAGTTGCCAGCTGTTCAAAATAGCAACTCTTTTGACTTTGGGACTTATTTTGGCAAAGTTACAACAAAAAGACTCTTTAGAAATTATTTTGTTTGAAAAATCGCCCAAAATCCCAAAAAACACATTAAAAACTTGGTTTTTGTATCAAAACTTAGGGAAATAATGGTCAAAATGTGGAATGTCATACACCGTTGAATTCGTAATAAAATTTCCAATCAAATGGCATTCAAAGTTAAAATTTTTTCAGATTTTCGAATTTCTGCAAAAAATGATGATGTACCCCCTTACAAAAAAGTCAGAAATTTGGACAAAAATTATTTTTTTAAAAAACGTTTTTCTAAATTCTGTTTTTGTGTCAAAACAAAATTAATTGTTTTAAATCGATCAGGGACGGATGGTATAAGTTGCCAGCTGTTCAAAATAGCAACTCTTTTGACTTTGGGTCTTATTTTGGCAAAGTTACAACAAAAAGACTCTTTAGAAATTATTTTGTTTGAAAAATCGCCAAAAATCCCAAAAATCCCAAAAAACACATTAAAAACTTGGTTTTTGTATCAAAACTTAGGGAAATAATGGTCAAAATGTGGAATGTCATACACCGTTGAATTCGTAATAAAATTTCCAATCAAATGGCATTCAAAGTTAAAATTTTTTCAGATTTTCGAATTTCTGCAAAAAATGATGATGTACCCCCTTACAAAAAGTCAGAAATTTGGACAAAAATTATTTTTTTAAAAAACGTTTTTCTAAATTCTGTTTTTGTGTCAACACAAAATTAATTGTTTTAAATCGATCAGGGACGGATGGTATAAGTTGCCAGCTGTTCAAAATAGCAACTCTTTTGACTTCGGGACTTATTTTGGCAAAGTTACAACAAAAAGACTCTTTAGAAATTATTTTGTTTGAAAAATCGCCCAAAATCCCAAAAAACACATTAAAAACTTGGTTTTTGTATCAAAACTTAGGGAAATAATGGTCAAAATGTGGAATGTCATACACCGTTGAATTCGTAATAAAATTTCCAATCAAATGGCATTCAAAGTTAAAATTTTTTCAGATTTTCGAATTTCTGCAAAAAATGATGATGTACCCCCTTACAAAAAAGTCAGAAATTTGGACAAAAATTATTTTTTTAAAAAACGTTTTTCTAAATTCTGTTTTTGTGTCAAAACAAAATTAATTGTTTTAAATCGATCAGGGACGGATGGTATAAGTTGCCAGCTGTTCAAAATAGCAACTCTTTTGACTTTGGGTCTTATTTTGGCAAAGTTACAACAAAAAGACTCTTTAGAAATTATTTTGTTTGAAAAATCGCCAAAAATCCCAAAAAAACACATTAAAAACTTGGTTTTTGTATCAAAACTTAGGGAAATAATGTTCAAAATGTGGAATGTCATACACCGTTGAATTCGTAATAAAATTTCCAATCAAATGGCATTCAAAGTTAAAATTTTTTCAGATTTTCGAATTTCTACAAAAAATGATGATGTACCCCCTTACAAAAAAGTCAGAAATTTTGACAAAAATTATTTTTTTAAAAAACATTTTTCTAAATTCTGTTTTTGTGTCAAAACAAAATTAATTGTTTTAAATCGATCAGGGACGGATGGTATAAGTTGCCAGCTGTTCAAAATAGCAACTCTTTTGACTTTGGGTCTTATTTTGGCAAAGTTACAACAAAAAGACTCTTTAGAAATTATTTTGTTTGAAAAATCGCCAAAAATCCCAAAAAAACACATTAAAAACTTGGTTTTTGTATCAAAACTTAGGGAAATAATGGTCAAAATGTGGAATGTCATACACCGTTGAATTCGTAATAAAATTTCCAATCAAATGGCATTCAAAGTTAAAATTTTTTCAGATTTTCGAATTTCTACAAAAAATGATGATGTACCCCCTTACAAAAAAGTCAGAAATTTTGACAAAAATTATTTTTTTAAAAAACATTTTTCTAAATTCTGTTTTTGTGTCAAAACAAAATTAATTGTTTTAAATCGATCAGGGACGGATGGTATAAGTTGCCAGCTGTTCAAAATAGCAACTCTTTTGACTTTGGGTCTTATTTTGGCAAAGTTACAACAAAAAGACTCTTTAGAAATTATTTTGTTTGAAAAATCGCCAAAAATCCCAAAAAACACATTAAAAACTTGGTTTTTGTATCAAAACTTAGGGAAATAATGGTCAAAATGTGGAATGTCATACACCGTTGAATTCGTAATAAAATTTCCAATCAAATGGCATTCAAAGTTAAAATTTTTTCAGATTTTCGAATTTCTGCAAAAAATGATGATGTACCCCCTTAAAAAAAAGTCAGAAATTTGGACAAAAATTATTTTTTTAAAAAACGTTTTTCTTAATTCTGTTTTTGTGTCAAAACAAAATTAATTGTTTTAAATCGATCAGGGACGGATGGTATAAGTTGCCAGCTGTTCAAAATAGCAACTCTTTTGACTTTGGGTCTTATTTTGGCAAAGTTACAACAAAAAGACTCTTTAGAAATTATTTTGTTTGAAAAATCGCCAAAAATCCCAAAAAAACACATTAAAAACTTGGTTTTTGTATCAAAACTTAGGGAAATAATGGTCAAAATGTGGAATGTCATACACCGTTGAATTCGTAATAAAATTTCCAATCAAATGGCATTCAAAGTTAAAATTTTTTCAGATTTTCGAATTTCTACAAAAAATGATGATGTACCCCCTTACAAAAAAGTCAGAAATTTTGACAAAAATTATTTTTTTAAAAAACATTTTTCTAAATTCTGTTTTTGTGTCAAAACAAAATTAATTGTTTTAAATCGATCAGGGACGGATGGTATAAGTTGCCAGCTGTTCAAAATAGCAACTCTTTTGACTTTGGGTCTTATTTTGGCAAAGTTACAACAAAAAGACTCTTTAGAAATTATTTTGTTTGAAAAATCGCCAAAAATCCCAAAAAAACACATTAAAAACTTGGTTTTTGTATCAAAACTTAGGGAAATAATGGTCAAAATGTGGAATGTCATACACCGTTGAATTCGTAATAAAATTTAAAATTTAAATTAAAAAATAAAATTTTCTTAAATATTTTTATTGTTTCCATGGGAACTTTTTGTTATAGTCGTCCGATTTTAATTTTTTTTTAATATTTAAACATTACTGTATCTCGAAGAACGGACGGACAGACGGACGGACGGACAGACGGACATGGCTAGATCGACTCTCCTAGTGATGCTGATCAAGAATATATATACTTTATAGGGTCGGAGATGTCTCCTTCACTGCGTTGCAAACTTCTGACTGAAATTATAATACCCTATGCAAGGGTATAAAAAAAAACATTTTTGAGTTCCTTTAAATAATAATTTTTATTCCCAGCTCAAAGCTAAAAAATAATAAACTAAATTGTTTTGCTAAAGAGAACTTGAAACGTCGACTTTGGCATAAAGAATGTTCTGTTTCTTCTCCTGTTGCTTCATTGGCTCCCAGTTTTTTTTGTATCCTCCGGCCTTTGTCCTTTTTGGTGAACCACAGTCTCGCAGGACTTTCAACTGAGGACCCCCAGATATTCCACGGTTTCCAACGATATATTGCGCACCAAAATTAATATGCATCGGTGGGTTATTCATACGCCCCGTGGGACGGGCAAATAGCAAACTCTCTTTGTTTATTTGTGTGTGTATGTGTATTGCGTGTATTTGATTTGATGCGTTTAGTACTTAGGACAACAATTACGTTTAGGTTAACTAGCATAAATCTATAATCATCACATTATGGCACAATGTATGTTATGTAATATATACTATATATATATATATATATAGAGAGAGAGAGTGATACACATAGTTATCGATTGATATAACAAATTAAATTTTCTGCTAATCACGGTTGAATCGAATCACGTTTGATTCCCAACCGAATCACTTGTGATTCCGTGCGATTTGCTGGCAAATTTGAAGCCCTTTATTGTCCGGTGAATCGTAACTTTGTACGCTTCTCATGGAGTTCAACCAGTATATTGAATACATCGACTATTTACGTTATCAGGCGACTCGTGTTGCGACTTCGACGACTTCCGGCTCCGCCATAATTACTACCATAGTGGTCACCATTTATTTGGGTCAGTGTAGTCGTCGTATGGGGCACATATACACTCGTATTATTGCGGGCATGCCGACGTCTATAGCGATACCCTGTGATGAGTTCACGCACTGTCTTTCGATATTTATCGGACAGCACACAGTATAAGAAAAAATTGGAGGCCGCATGCAGGGAGGCCAGAAGATTGCACACATTGCCCGCCACCACCTGTGTACCTATTTGGAAATCCATATACTGGGACAATATCAAATAAATGGCCCATGGCAGTTGGCAAAATATGAACATCAGCACCACCGCAATCAATGTGATCGTCACTCGATTCTCCTGCGATACGCTGCCCTTAATCCCGGAATTTGATTTGCGCTGTAAGTAAAGTATGGTAAATGTATTTTACCAATCGCAATTTTAAATTTATTACTTTAGTTCGCCTTATGCTGCTCGCATTGGTCAGATCGCCACGCAGACTTTTTGAACGATGCACCAGTAGAATGAGAAATGAGTTAAAGGTGGCCAGTAAGAGCAACGGGAAGACTACAAAAACCAGCAGTGTAAACATATTCCACAGATTACTGTACAGCTCATCCTTGCCCAGCTCTGAAGTTCCATGATTGTAAATAGTGACCTGAAAGATAAAGTACATATTATAAAGCGCGACAAATAGTGCAACACTAATTAAAAAAGTTGTAGAAAAGGCAACACTAACTCCTCAGTATACGAGCCCTTTAAAATATTCAAAGCACAGATATGAGCTTAAGTTATTGTCGTATTTATCATAGTCAGTCTTGATACTTCTACTCCCCTCATGTTTTTCACTGGTAAACCTTCTTCACATTTTCTCCAGGGAAATCCCAGCATTTTCAGCACATTTCACTCACATTTTGACAGTATTCCGTTACATTAAATGCGAATGCATCCGTGTTGTTGTTGTTGTTGTTGTTGTTGTTGTTGTTGTTGTTGTTGTTGTTGTTGTTGTTGTTGTTGTTGTTGTTGTTGTTGTTGTTGTTGTTGTTGTTGTTGTTGTTGTCATTGTTGTTTCGTTTGCGTCGCAACAACTGCAGCAAACTTTCGGTGACCCTTGACCCCTGCTCCTCCACCGCCTCATCTTGATCCTGTTCCTCTAGCGTTTTCCTCAGATTGGGAAGCGTCACAAATCCAGATGACTGCCAGTGCCGGCGATGTCGTGGAATGTTCTCTAGAAAATGGTAAACAAGTCCTTAAAATTAAAAGAAATTGTAGACATTTTTTTAAAATAAAAATTAGGCATACAACATAATTAAAAAAAAAACAATATTGTAAAATTCTATCAGAATAAATAAAATGAATAAATTTATTCCAGCATAAAAATGCAAAATTCGTTGTTTTTTTTCCAGTGTTTATGAATGGTGACCCCTACACTCACCTGGTTCTCCGTCACCACTGCCACTTCCCCAGTCGAAGAGCAGATTCGAGCTGCCGGCGGTCGTCGACTCCGTGCTGAAGTGCTGCGAAATGGTCGCCGGCGTGGGCAGCGGAGGCGTGGCCAGTGGGGGCGTGGCCACGGCAAAGGACGGAACAGGGGGCGTGGGCGAGAAGTTAGCCACCGTTTGGTTGCACGGCTGGTAGGCGTCATCAATCAGCTTCCAACCGACCGTAATTGTGTGCTCGAATGCCGTCGAGAGCGTGGACAGCAAACAGAAGACGGCCACGGCTGGAGATGGCAAAGCAATTTACATTTTAACGATAAGCAAATCAAAATCAATTTGATCCCTATCTATCTATCCCATCTATCTAAACCCATCGACAACTTATATGTATAAAATTGCATAACTTAAGATGTTTCAAAAGAAATATTAAGATGCTTTCGATGGAAAATATCGGTTTCTTGAGTCATTAAAAATTTCTTCTCACTGTTTCCATTGTATCAAGAAATGTAATTAAAATTTCTACAACTTCACATTCATATAAAATATTCCTTATAAAATTACGGTCTATTTTCATTTTTATTTGTCTATCTATATACAATTCAAGCTTATATTTTTACTATTTATAAATTGTTTTTATTTCAATATTTATTTGTTTATTTTATGTAATTTATTTTTGGCCATCTTAACTCACCTGCTATCACCTTCTTGGCCAGCGATTCCGTGCAGAATGTTTGTCTCTTAAGTGGATAACGTATCGCTATGAACCGCTCGATGGTGAAGCACACGGCAATGTAAATCGAGATGTAACCTGTCCGTGGAAGCAAGGAAAACAATTGAGAAGGGGCGTGGGTGTACAATTCAGACACAATCAATTGTGCACTTGAAAAAATTTAACACTATAAATATTAAATCACTTTTAAAACTAAGTCCCATAATAATTGCTACAACTTACTGTTAAAGTTGGAAAAAAACAGAACTAAAAACGAATTTAAAAAAAAAAATGTATCTGGTATGCTTATACATTTTTAAGACATACTAAATTAAATAAAACAACCTCCATCACATAATAAATATATTTATGGCTTTATAAGGGCAAGTAGAAATCTTGAAAAACATACCTTTTTGAATAACAAAATTTTTCGGTGCACTCTGGGATTATAAATACCCGTGCCACCCACTTTTGACCCCATCCCAATTTATTCGCTGCCTGCGCTGTCAATTTATTCAAAACGCTGCTGCGCACTCTAAACGATTGACGTCCGTGCTCCGCTGATGAGACTCGTTTTGTATGGGTGGAAACCGAGGCGGGGGAAAGCGGAAAACTGTAGGTATGGCATGGGTATGGTATCGCATGGAAGCGGGACTCAGCTGACCGCTGGCATTTCGCAGAAAGCGCTGCTAACTATACCTCGTAAATTGGCAGAGCTCAATGAAATTGATGCACAACAGCAGCATCGGCCGCAGGTGCAATTCGAATTGATGGGCCCAGGTCCCAGGAATCCGGAGGTCCGGGAATCGAGGAAAACTGGGGAATTTATGGAATCCACACCACTCCACTTAGTGCTCTCCCTGCGATGCATTCGGAATTTTTACCCCCGAGAAGCAATTGTTTTAACGGCACAAAATTTACGATTTTTATTTGGAAGCCCCCTCTTTATTTTTGATGAATAAATGTTATTTCTTCATGTTTAAATTTAAGTTATTTAAGGTAAGGTAATTGATTCTCAACTTGCTGGTGCAATAAATTTGTATTATTTAAAAAACCTTTATATTAAGAATATTTTAAGAAATAAAAAGAAAAAAATTAAGTCATACAAAATGTGTGCAAAACTATTATTATTTTGGAGAAGAGTCACAAATTAGTTAAATAAATATGAAATATGTGGTAATGCCTGAAAAATGTTTACAGCATTCTTTTAGACAAATTTAAAAGTGAATTCAGTCAACCACTGTTTTTAGGTTACTTAAAAATGTCTCAATTTAATTTAGAACCTTCTAAACTGATCTTAAATGACTATGACTGAAGCACAAGATATCTGCTTAGTTTTTATACTTTCTAGAGCCATATTTCTTTAAATATGCAGTTAATACTCACCAAAACTGTCGCACAGCCAGACGAAATAGCCATACAGTTGATAGTAAATTTCCAAATGGTACTTGGGGTAATCGTAGTGCTGGAGTGATAGGATTAATTGACAGGTCAGGTACGCAATGTCCGTGATGGCCAAAGCCGTTAGATAAATGTTCGTGGTGCACCTCATGCGCTTTCTGAAAATGGCGAGAAGAATCGGAAAGAATTGCAATTTGTGTTTATTCGGGCTTTCACCACCAAAAAACCCCCCCTCCCCCCAACCATCACCACCCTCGCATTGCGAAATCAGGCCAAACCATTTGGTGGACAATGCAAAACGCTGCCAAGTGCAACACCAATTGAAATAGCAAATTGCCCGAAAGCAAAACGCAGAAGGGGTTGAGGGGCATCGTCATCGGAAAATTTGAAGGGGAAAAAAGGGGTGCAGGGGTTGCTGGGGGTGGAGGGGGATGATGCTGGATTTTCCCACCGGGCCTGGGCATTTTCCGAAATGCGCACAAATGTCGGCACAGTCATAAAGCCAAAAGATGAACAATAAAAACTAACTGTTAACATTTAGTTTTCTCTCTGGCATCGCCCGTAGCTCTGATAGTTAAATTTCCTTGTGTTCTCCACAAAACAAAATAATGAAATGAAAACATTAAATTAAAAAGTCATTCATGGCATTCAGGTAACTTAAAATTCCACAAGAGTTGGATTGAAAATGGATTTATGCATTGTTGATGAGTCAATATTATAAATTTGGTACATACAAAATGATATTTACCAAAGTTACCCTGTAACTAGGTTAAGGCAAAATTGTTATTTAGCAAATGACTATGCACTTGTTGCCATCGAAACAGAAATAATAGCTGTGATGCACATTTTTATAAAAATATTTAATAGTTTTCCCACCATTTAAATGGCTTAAGATTTTTATGAGTATAAAAAACATTTGCAATTACATTTAGTTGAACTTTAGAACAATATTTGAAACGCACATTTTTATACAAATATTCAACAAACTTTAAAATGGTTTTTACAAGTGTACAAAATATTTGCCATTTAATTTAGTCCTTCATTGGCAGTTTTAGCATATAACGGGATTGTATGAAATATATTTTAGCCTTTTATTTTTTGATTTGTTTTGAAGCCTTCTTAATAGAAATACCATACAAAATCGTATGTTTTTGGCTGACCTCCAGATCTTATTAAGGTTTCCTTTATTTGATTTCGTCCGAATTTTTCCGGAAAATGCCCATATGGTGTCATAGTAGTCAGCTTGCCGCACAGAGCACTTGCAACTGTCGCATATTTTCTGGCACACATAAAAAACACACTCACACACTTTGCTTATCTGCATTTTTGCATTTGGCACATAAAATGACTCTTATTGTTTCACTTATTGTTGTTGTACTTGTCCGTGCTATTTTTGTTACTGCTATTGTTGTTGTTGTTACTGTTACTGTTAGTGTTGTTTTTGCTGTTGTTGGCATGGTGTGGAAATGATTTTAAAGTGCAGCGGTGGCTACAATTAAATGCCATGTTTAATGCGCTGCGTACCTGTTCGCTGCTTCATTCGTGTTCCACTTGTTTCACACACAGACAGACACTTTGGTACAGAGAGAGAAAATAAATAATTTCGAAAATGTCTGACCTTGATATTGTTTGAATAAATGAAAATAAAAATAAATCGCAATAAGTTGATCAACAAAATAAATGACTACACAGCTTTACAAATCGATTCTAAAATTTGTTCAAGACTTGTTACTTATTCTTTAAAAAAAAAGGATTAATTTAAAATCACATATTTCGCTAATTTGTGCTTTTATAAATATTTTAGAGCATACATAAAAAAGAAAAAAAAACCAACCCTTAACAACCCTTTAATACATTTTCATTGAAATTCACTCTTAATCTAGAGCTTTCTTCATTTATAAATGCTATGAAATCAATATTTATATTTAATATATATAAATAAATATATAAATATTTAATATATATATATTTTTCGCCGAGCTGCAATTATATTTTGAATTTTTTTCTGCCTGCTGAATGCATAAAACAACAGTGCCTAGAGGCCACGCCCACACCATCGCCCAAAATCGGCTGGGCCATAATCCAGCAACAATAACAGCCAAAATGGGGAAGGGGAAAGGGGGGAAAGGGGGTCTGAAGGACTTGTGTGGGGGATACAAGTGCACTTACCGCGTCAAAACATAAATGCTCACTGAATTTCCCAATAGTCCAATAACAAAAACGCACGGCACCAAAATGCGTTGGACAACATGCCGCACTTCCGCCATATCCGCATCCGAAAACATTTCGCCAACAGTCGCATTTCCCAGCGTCGCTGCCTCTGGCGCTGCCTCAGTCGACGTCGACGTCGAGGACATTGTCACCACTGACAGAGGTCCTGGCACGCCTCCACCGCCCGCCTCCGCCTCCTCCGCTGCCTCTGCCTTCTTTTAGCCGCCTATCCTGGCCACTTGAGTTTGGCCCGTATCGGTTGCGTTTTCCCCGATTTTCCAATTCTCGCCTCGGATCCGATTCCAATTGCACTTTTGTCAGCAGCCAAAACAAACACTCACACACACGGAAACGCCCACGGCCACGCCCACTGCAAAAATATAAAACAAATAAAGAACTTCAGTTAGGGATATAAGATATGGGAATACAATATTGTGATAGTTTACTTTAAGCTGCATTCAATTAGTCATGTAATAAGTCACAATATTTATGTTAACTATATTTTTTTCTAAACTAAATTAAAATAAGATTAATAAGCTTAGCTCTGAAAAAAATATTAAAAAATAGATAAAAATATTAAAAGAATACTTAAATTAATGATCAATTAACCTTCTTTGGTTATTATATTGAAAAACACTTTAAACTATAAAAGAGCTATACAGTGTGACAATATATAATACTTGAAACAACAATAAATAAGAAAATAAGACATGATTGAATCACCCAAATATATTGAGTTTTTAATTAGTAGTTTTTTGACTTATCCAATTTGTAATGAACAATAACAATCAATACATTTTACTGATTTAAGTATAATTTCGCTCGCTAATCATTTAATATCCTTCCGTTTCTTGCGTTTTCGTTTGATTCTTCGACGGCACCGAATGATTTATGGCCAGCCCGGATTGGCATTGATATTGGCCAACAATCGGACATATACAAATAGGAGTGGCCAAGATAAAAAACAAGGACTAGAAAAGAAAAGAAAAGAAAAGCAAAGAAAGCAGGGTATATGGCCTGCAGATGTGTCTTCCAGCTGTTTGTTGCAGATTTCTGCACCGACCACTCGGATATTTGCTTCGAATTACATTTTGCACAAACACACACACACACCCACACACCCACACACAGAGAGCACCCGCATAGAAAGTTCACTTATTTATTTGGTTTTCAATTTCGGGGCTTTTTCGCTTATTTCTTTTGTTTCACTTGGCAAAACAACCATTCCACCCAATTTCCGATTTTCCCACTATTTCCACCACCCATACATACTCGTACATACAGGGCAGACAAATTGCGCGTAAAATAAAACTGAAATTGCAATTGCAGGCAAGGGCAAAACTACACAACAAAAACATAAGCAAAAAAATAAAAATCGAGAAAAAAATAGACAAAAGGAGAGCAAGGAATTGGAAAGCGTTTTAAAAACAATAAAAGTGGCAAATTCACAGTCAAGTCCCCACCCCTCGAAATTCGCAAATATTGCACGTACGTGAGTGAGAACAAAAACCTAAAACCGAAAAACGATATTCCTGGCATTAAGCGAAGCTCGGAAAACCAAACAAAAAAGTGTAAAGTACAAAAATGCTTTTATTTCCGCTGGCCACATCAGATGACATTTGAAGGGTTTACAAAAAAAATCGTGGAAAATCGTGCGAGAAAATGCACCCATTAATTGAACGTTACGAAAACACATTTGATCTCAATCATTCATTCTTAACAATAATGGTTTTAATTGTTGCAAAAAGTCATTTTCTTTGAAGGGCTAAATCCAATTGACTTATCTTACAAAAAAGAATCTCTTACACAACATGACTTGATCTTGAAGTGTTATAGTTTTCTAATCTCTGTTTATTTAGTAATATTAATAAATAATTTCTAAGAAAGTGTGTGCAGCATAAATATTGTACAAATAAATCAACACAAAATTAACATAAAAGTCAGATTATAAATTGTCTAAAAAATCATAAACACTTAGAGGTTTGCCAATTTGAAATCGATGGGTTAAGTTATGGGCTTGTTTAGGTATTGGAAACCAACTTTTCTAAAGTTTTGAAGTCTTTAAATAAGAAATTGAGATTACAAGACGGCAGATGGCTCACAAACTTTCGGAGATATGTTATACCTTTCGGAAGTTCGACTTAAATGGATCAAGTCTAAGGTCCTAACACTTCTATGCATATTTCCTCAGTGCAGTCCACCTGTGCCTTTAAATAAAGCCGAGACCACAGGACCTCAGTTATCAATGAATGAATATGGAAATGGCTGAATGAATGAGGGAATGAATGGGCATGAATGAATGAATAGATGACTAGCCGGCTGACTGAATAATTGAATGAATGCGTGAATGAACGGCGCCTGGGAAAAAATGGCGGAATATGGCTAAAATGCTGCGGAGTGGAACAAAATGAAATAAAACGGGCTCTTATTTTCATTTACCTCCGCCCTTCGCTATACGTCTTCCTCAGGCTGTACTTTTCTGTTGTTGTTGTTGTTGTTGTTGCAAACAAAGCCTTTTTGTTGACGGTTTTGTTGTTTTTGTTGGCGGTTTCTATACACATCGCTTTTATAAGCAACGGAATTATTTTTTGTCGGTGCCGAAAAAATTTAATGGACATTTTTAGGTTGTTTTAGGCTTGCTGTTTTGCTTATTGTTACGATTTAGTTTATGTTTCCTAAAGTGTTTATGTGATTTAGTGTAATTTAGGTTATTTTTCAAGTTAGTTTACATTGTAATGTAACATAGGTTTAGCCGAACCATACGTGGAAAATGTAAACCTCTTAAATTATATTACGTATACGTATCAAATTAGTTAAAGTTGTAAATAATACAAACCACTTTTATAATATAACATGTACATACGTATAATAAAATGAAAAATATAACATTATTATAATGTTTGTTAATTGGTTTCTGCAAACATTTTGTACAGGGTATTCGGAACATTCAAGTGCATCCTTTTCGTTCATAGACACCTGACTGTATATGTGTCATTCAGGCAGTCACAACAAAAGATGCCTAAATTAGCACACACACACACATAGACACTCTCGGAAAATCACACATACACCTGCGCGGTTGACAGCTACGTGCGAAAAAAGCGAAGAAGAATTCTTCAGATTTTCCACTCTCTTCGTTTTTTTTTTTTTTGTGGCTGCCAGGCCGCGTTCCACTTTTTTTTGCATTTTGGCCAGATGCAACAGAAAATTCTTACATTCTTTTTTTTCCTCCCTTTGCATAATTAGTGAGTGGCTCAGTGGGTACAACAACAACGGCGAAAAAGCAAAAAAAAAAAAATATAATAATAATAGCAACAAGAGAAGCTTGGGCAAGTCAAGTGGCTGTGTGCCATTTTCTCAGCACCTGCAAAAATGTGCCTTGCTCCTAATTGGCAGTCAACAACAAAAAGAAAATGGAGAAAATGGCCTTAAAGCCGGCCCAAGAAAAATAGACGGCCTGCGGCTGCGTTTTTCCTGATTAGGATAAGTTGCATTTAACCAACATTTAAAATTAACTTTAAATTGAAAACCAGTCTGAGAGAAACAAGGCAAAAAAGCACACAGGATTACACGGAGAAAAATATAATATAAATGGTTGAATCGATTGAAAAATTCGTAACTTTTAAAAGTTAAACAACTAAAACTAATACTATTGCTATTTTTAACCCCTTCATTTGAAATTTAAAACTTTCGATAGGAACTGCCGCTTCTGTGAAGGTTTTGAAAGTTACATGAGCTTGCAAGAGTTATAATTGCCAGTGTAGAGCCACATAAATCCACGAGGACCAAGTCAACGCTTTTTGGGATTTGTTTATCGCAGCCCGTCTTTCCAACCCGCCAGCACTTCATCTCCTTAACCTCGGTGCATTTTGTTTACCCAGAACAACAAGATAAAGTCAAATAGTTACAGCGGCATCAGGACTTTGGCGTTGGAAGGAGTTGGCAGAGAGTCAGACAGAAAGAGAAGGGGGCAGTCAGACAGAAAGAGAGAGGGGGAGAATCAGACAGAGGCGGTCAGTCAGTCAGTCAGTCAGTCAGTCTGTCATTCCATCAGGTTGCCCTAGGTCCGAGTTGTGGAGTCAGCAAGCCAGGCATCCATTGCAGCCTTTGTGGCAAAATAAACAGAAGCGGAGTTGCCGGGGAAAAGGGGTGTATGCAGAGGGTAGAAGCGGGGGAGAGGTGCTCCAAGAAGGGGGACGGGAGTTCCGGCAGCTTCTTCTTTAACTTCAAACTACAACAACTAGTGAGCTAAACTACACTATACCGACTTTGTAGCATTGAGAACGTAGACAAAAAACAAAGTTTGGGGAAGATCGAACCGTTACAACTTACGAGTATCCTACAAGAAATATAAAAAATATATAAAAAGAAAAAAAATGTATTTAAAAAAGTACTAATGATCTTTATAGCAAGTATTGCCATGTAAATATTTAACTCTCTAGCTTAGCGTAATGTTATGTCATTTTTTTTCTTTCATTGCTGACAACTTTTAGAATTTATAATATATATTTATTAAAATGATACTAAAATAATCTATGTCAAGTTAAACTGGAGGTTAAGTTAAGTAACAAATACATCACATTCCGCACTAATCCCGATACCCCGTAGAAAAGTGCAGGAAAAATTATGCAAGTACAGTTTCCCTCAGGTATTTTTGCATTTGATTTTCAAGTTCTGTCTCTTCGCAGCCGGACTTTAGTGGTGAGTGTGGAAATGGGGAAAAAATGGCTGCAGGACTGTCAGGACTGCCAGGACTCCCAGGCAGCCGTGACTTGGGGGAGGGGGTGCTCGAGGGATACGAATCGGGATACGGATGACGGTTGTCCGGGTTGAGGCCAAGGTGCAGCATTGCCGTGACAGCCCATCAACTTGCATTTCCCCCGATTCTTTTTTGTTGGCCGTGTCTTCTCGTTTTTGATGATGCCTTGGCCTGGCAGACAAAATTGCATTTCGCTCAAGGTGTGACCAGGTCCGAATGCAATGGCAAGTCCCCTGCCAAGCATTTATAAATCGTGTGACAAGCGCACATACACAGCAAACTAAAAATGTATTTATTTAAATCAAATTGTTTCTGCTCTTCAACCCGCTGGGAATTTTGAAGTAAATATGTATTGTACAACACCATTTATTTAATTAATAAGAGTCAATTAAAATAAGGCTTTAAAATAACCCATTTTAAAGCTATCTTGATAGTATGAAAGCCAAAAAAAAAACAATTATTTTCTTTATTTGGTTATAAGGAAATAAATTTATTGTTATTATAATATTTCTACAAGTCTATATTAATTTATAGATAGCTTATAGTTTGCTGGTGTTTGCTGTTTAATTAAATCAATAAGTTTACAAATTTTAAATATATTTTAATATTGA